GATCTGAACTCTTGACCCTGGTATTTAATTTTCTTAAACTTTCTATTAATGTAAACATACATACAGAAAACTATATATGCCAGAAGTGCACAATTTAATTTATTTTCAACACACCCATGTGATCAGCACCGAGATCAAGAACCAGAACATTACCTTCTTCTCAGAAGCCTCTTCCTACTCCCTTTCAGTTTCTGTTCTCCCAAGGGTAACCACTAATCTGGCTTCCAAAAGACATGCAACTCTTAATATTGGCATATCTAGGACTGTGTTGGACTGGGTACTCTATAGATTATTATCATCTGCTCCTTTGGGAGTAGTATTAAGACTCTTCTCTGGTCAATTATCTTGACTTATTTCCCACTCCTATGCAGCAGTATCAAGAGATCTGAGTTCCGATCCCAGTGCAATCACTTAATAAACCTGTGACCCTGGAAAATCCACCTCCTCTCTGAGCCTCAGTAATCTAGTTTATAAAATACACAATCCATTTGCAGAGTTGCTATTAGGACTAAGTTAAACATCACTCTCAAAGTACCTGGTATAATGTGCCTGCTATATAATAATGTAACAGCCAACTGTTATGGATTTTATTGTATGCAGGCATGATATGAGGGCTTTATGTATATTATCTCATTTATAACTCTGGCCAAATAGGATTATTTGATTTTCTCATCTGCTCTTTCTCCCAGTCTTTCACATCTCAGTCAAGAGCATCCCCATTTACCTAAAGATTTAGGTTCCATATCTAGGGATTTTCCTTGATTCCTATCTTTTCGACAGTCCACTTATCTAATTCGTCAGCAGTTTTGCTGACTCTAAAAGAAAATCCAGGGCCGGCCTGTGGCTCACTCGGTAGAGTGAGGTGCTGATAACACCAAGGCCCCGGGTTCGGATCCCATATAGGGATGGCCGGTTCGCTCACTGGCTGAGCGTGGTGCTGACAACACCAAGTCGAGGGTTAAGATCCCCTTACCGGTCATCTTTTAAAAAAAAAAATAAAGAAATAAAAGAAAAGAAAATCCAAGTCACTCAGCTCTCTCGGTTTCCACCACCACTACCCTATTTTAAGCCACCACTATCCCTCACTTAAATATCTTCACAAGAATGTAAGCTACATGTGAATAGGCTCTGTATCACAGCTGTATCCCCAGCACCTGAGCACCCTGAACAGTGCCTGGCCCTTAGTAGGCTTTTGATAACTATGTCTTAAATGAATGCATGTTCCAGCAAACCCTTGGAGTGGGTACTATTATTATTCCCATCTTACAGATGAGAAAAAAGGCTTCTAGTGATTAAATAACCAAAGTCACACAACAAAAAGCAAAACTAGGATTCAAATCCAGCAGTCTAACTCTAGAGCCTGCCTGTCCACTATGCTGCGGTATTGAAGTATACTGGCTTATTTTTTTATTTTTTATTTTTTTAAAGATGACTGGTAAGGGGATCTTAACCCTTGCATTGGTGTTGTCAGCACCACGCTCAGCCAGTGAGCGAACCGGCCATCCCTATATGGGATCTGAACCTGGGGCCTTGGTGTTATCAGCACCGCACTCTCCCGAGTGAGCCACGGGCCGGCCCTATACTGGCTTATTTTGAAGTCAATTATTATTATTATTATTATTTTCAAAAGGTGACCGGTAAGGGGATCTTAACCCTTGACTTGGTGTTGTCAGCACCACGCTCACCCAGTGAGCAAACCGGCCATCCGTATATGGGATCCGAACCCGTGGCCTTGGTATTATCAGCACCGCACTCTCCCGAGTGAGCCACAGGCCGGCCCTTGAAGTCAATTATTAAGGGTTGTTGTCGTTGTTGTTGTTGTTTGGTGATGTTAGGATAAATTTTAATTTCCCCAACCTGAAAAGTTTTCTTCAAGTTTTCCTGAGAGTTCATGCGTGCCTACACACAGCCTCGTAGACATTGGCCTCTTCTCCCGACATCCAGCTGTAGTGACCTCTTTGCTCTTCCCAGCTAATGCTCCTGCCTCTATCCGAAACACGCCCCCTCGTTCATCCCCTCTGGAAACTTCTTCTAATTTCTCAATTCGGAGGGATTATAACAGGCAGTACTTTATCCCAGCTGGCACCATCCTACTAAAATTAGTTGTTTATTTCCGTCTTTATTTACTGCTGTGCCCCCAGTGTCTAAGAAGCGCCTGGAGTAGAATAGTTACTTAATACGTATTTGTTGAATAAAGGAATCAAAGAGCAAGGATTATTATATCAATTTTCAGGTGGAAACTCTGTAGCTCATTGAGGTGAGGTGTTTTGTCAGTCAGTCATTAAGCGGCAAAGATGAGAGATTTGAAACCTTGCCTCCCGGACCACGCCCCACTTCCCAGTCGCTCACTTCCGTCGGCGCCTAATGGCCCCGCCTACTTCAGCCTGCGCAGTCTCCGGGACTAGTTTGACCCTCGGACGGCCGCCGTAGCGCGTCGCCCCCGTTGCCTTGGGAAACGAACCGGGACCTAGTAGGGAGCGAAGACGTTTCCCGCCGGCGGGAGCTGCTGCTGTGGCTGACAGAGTGTCTCAGAAGCGGAGGCGCCCAGCGCTGCAGCATCATGGCGGACCAGATTTATCTGGAAAATATAGACGAGTTCGTCACGGACCAAAACAAAATCGTGAGGAGCTAGGACTAGGGAATGCGGGCGTGCGACTGAGGTCCTGGGCCTGACCAGAGCTGTGGGGGCCTTGACCCCTCCGCTTGTGGCGTCTTGGGGACTGGCCGAGGGGACACATGTCCCCAAGCTTTGTGCCCCCAGGGCTAGTGAAGACTCCTCGGGGAGGTGCGCGCAAGTCAGCGTCCCTAGGGTGGGCGTGCTGGGAACTGTGCACCGGCAGGGGCCGCGGAGGGAGGGGCGTTGGTTGAGAATATTCCTAAGACGTGCCTACAAGTGTCTTAAAAGGTAGTTGGCGTTAAAAATCTCAGGTTTAGGGCCGGCCCGGTGGCGCACTGCTATAGTGCGCCGCTTGAGAAGCGCGGTGGCGCTCCCGCCGAGGGTTCGGATCCCACGTACAGACCGGTTCCCGCTCGCTGGCTGAGCGAGGCGCGGGAGCAGCACCGAGGGTTGCGATTCCGTTGCCGGTCCCGGTCCGGTACGGGGGCGACACTGAGGGTTGCGATCCGTTGCCGGACACGGAAAAAGACAAAAAGGAAAAAAAAAAAAGAAAATGTGGTATATATACA